TTCTGGACATATACATCACTCTTGGCTCTTTCTCTCTCCTCTGGCATACTAACAGGATAGTTAAAAGTACAAGCCCGTCTTGGTTTCTGGCAGTTTCCTGCCTATGCAAGGGGGATAACACTTGTGCCACATTGTTTTAGCACACCTGGGGGGTGGGGGGGTGAGGCAGAAAGCAGGTTGCTGATGAAGGGGAGGCGGGGCTGATGGGACAGGTGTGTGAGGGCAGACGGATCAGGGTTTCAGGAAGTGTGGGAGGTCCAGTGTCATCTCTCATGGGAAAAGAAGCCGTGTTTGCTGGTGTACCCCAAGATTAGCTTGGGGGCACTGTGACTTGTGCAGAGGAGAGCTGTTGGAATTGGTGCATGCGTGTAAGGTGCAGTCATTTTCCAAGTCTTACCTCTTGCCTTGATGTTAAGATCTGATTTGTAAAAACTGAGTTTTCTGAGATGGGGTTTTTCACCCTCATCATTAAAATCCCTCTTCAGCCTTCTTTTGACCTCATGTGACCCCATTGCATTTCCTGGAAATGCATCATTTAACCACTAGTCAGATGTTTCCAAACAGTCTATAAAACCCTAATTCCAAATTTTCCTGTCGTTTAAGAGGTTAAGCATATAAACACCATTCTTAGGTTTTTCTAGATTAACGCTCAACTGTACAATGAATAGAAAAGGTTACGGTTATTTCAAAACGTGCACTTCACAGTAAGCTCTTTAATGAGGCACTTGGAAACCTGTAAGAAGCTTGTTGTTACAGTAATATACAAACAAATATAATGTATATTAACAGAGGTCATTGATGAGTTAAACGGAAAGCAAAGTTTAGCAATGAACCAGTGGTAGAAATCTAACATGAAATATAAAAAAAGGTTCACCTTCCTCTTGTGCCCTTTAATACAAAATATTTTGCTTCCTATTTAAATGCAAATAAAATAAAACAACCATCACTTTATGCAGAAGCACCACATTTATGTGCAGACTCTTTCAATTCACAGGCCTGGATTTACCCATGCAGAGCTGGATCTGTATACTACAGCTCCGAACTAAAGCAGCAGGTTGTCCCCTCCTGTGTGGGTGATCTTTCATGGCAGGACAGCTGACCTGGACTACGTGTGTTTGCATAGAATTCACCCACTGAGTCAAGAGCCAAGAGTCAACATTCAGATAGCTCTCTGTGATGTGGAAGGGGAACTTAGAGGGTTTATTTTGAAGTATTGATAATAATCTGTCAAGTAACACAACATTTTCCCGAGTGTGTGCTTGAGGTGTTCATATCACTGAGGGTTTTAAAAGCCCTGTTTGTCTCTGTTAGTACCTGTTGGTTTCTGCCTCCTCTCCCTGCTCCAAGTGCTAACGCAGCACGTTTCCTGATCGAGAATTATGAATTTCCTGCGAGGCGCAGAGGAAGTGAAGAAAATGCCTTTTTTTAGGAGCAGTATGGGATGGAGTAAAATGGCAAGGAAATGTTTAAATACTGTTGTTTTCCTCTGGCATCAAGCGTGTGAATATTTTTTTAATTGCACATGAAGCGTTCCTTATGTCAGTTAGCCTGGGAGTGGTGTGAAGAGCTTGTTAGGATCCCATACCTCTGCAGGGCACTGCAGTGTTTTCCCCATATAGTGCTTCTGAGGCCATTTGTCCAGAAAGCCTTAGGCTCTAATGTCATCCTATTTTTAAGTATTTTTCTATGAAGAGGGCAGTTTGCACGTGACGAAAATTAAGGACCCCAAGCAGTTTGTTTTGTTACCTGAAACAATGTTATACTATATATATACTGGACATTGAAGGGGCACTGCAATGCTATTTTTATATTTTGGGGCTAGGAAGTATCAGCCTCGATGAGTGCATTTCAAACCACAATAAAAGTCCAAATTGACACGGTGGTGTGTAAAATGTATAATCTCCAGGTAAGCGCAGCACCATGTTCTGCGATTCAGATCAAGGGAACAAACCATCCGGTGAGGTGTTGTGGCCTTATTACGATGTAAACAAGCAGGCTTGTGAATACATCTCTTTTAACCCAATAGAAATATTGCTCTTCACTTCGAGACGGTTTTGCCGACAAATACTACTTTACTCTGCATGCAGATCACATTGGAACACTTCTGCAGTGAAATGTCAGCTGCACACCCTGTACGTACTCGCTTGTGCATCGCGATAAATGAGTTATTATGGAGACTAGTGAGCAGGAAGGGCCGCGTTCACATCGCAATTCATGCGAAGTCTTGATCCCGCCTGGGTCGAGACGAGGGTTTTGCGACAACAATAGTGACTCACAGCACTTTCACAAAGTTCACGATTTTATTCTTCCTCCGGCATCTGCGAAATGTTTCTATGCTGTGAATGAATGAATTTTGTTACCGAGATTTAATCACCCGTCTGAGAAATTGGGGCGGCCCTTTAAAAAAAAAAAATCTGGTTCAAGACAATTTTTCATAAACGGTTTAATCTTGCAGCCTTTGTTGATTTTTACTGAAGTAAAAGTAAACAAATTATATGACGACTACAAGTTGACGAGATGAGAAAAGAGATGTGATGCTGAATACTGGTGCTACATGCTGGTGTGGCCTTCCCGCCAGTGCCTACTACACCAGGCAGTTTTAATGCCTTCGTTAGGAAAACGCTGTCTCGTCATTCATGTCTTCAGACTTGCGATCGGAGAGCAGCCAGCAGCCGTGCCAGTGAGCCTGCCTGGTAACGCCTTTCTTGTGCAGCTCACGAGTTACTGCCTGGCTGGCCTCTTCCCATTTCCTCTTTCCGGGCAGCCAGTTTCAATGGCCACTTATTTATCACAAGGTCGCATCACAAGGCCCTGCCAGTTTGTAAAGGGCGCTCACGCTGGGAGACACAATGGCGATCTGTGTTCTGAAGGAAGTCCGGGCTAATCAGCCTTGTAAGTAACGAGCAGAGTACAGGTTGAAGTTTTATTTATTTTTTTTTTTTAGTCGTGCTCTACAGTGAAACTGGCTGAACTGCTGCAGGTTGCAGTCAGTTTTTTGTTTTTTCTTTGCTGCCTCCCTTAACATTTTTATTCATTTCTAAAATTTCGGTGACTTTAAAAAGACTTGCTCTGGGAGTTATGCGTCAAAAGAAATTGCAAGAAGTACAGGTTATTTGAGAAAAAAAGGTGACAAACAAGGAGCACACTTTGGAATGATATTAAAAAGAATATTCATCTTCTAGAGACAGCTGGACAGGATTTTCAGAATAATTGGCAACCAGACTGATATTGTTTATAACCTTTTCCTGTGTTCCTGTGTATAATTACATCAAGAGGCGCATAAAATGCCAAGGGATTCTCAAAAGATGTTATTACAGTGGTAGGAGCCTCAAATCCTATAACCTTATAAATTGTTTACCATTGACTTGACCGAATTGTAGTCTGTTTTATAACACACCATCACGATGAATGAGTGCTCGCTATCATACATTGGTACTTTACTGTTTTTTTGAGAATGTAAGTTTTCATTTTTTCAGTCTTGAACGCGCCCACTTAATAAAGGTGTTCTTAATTTTTCTTGCACAAAAATGCATTGGGCTTTTAGTTTTGGGGGATTCTAAACAATTCTAAAGGATCCAATGGTGGTCACTGAGGGAGGATGGTCGGCTGTTTTAAAAATCTGCTACAGAGGGAACTAGAAAATGAGTGCATTGCAAGGGGCTGCCTATTAAAATGTCCTCCCAGAGACATGCAGGGTAGATACATTAAAGTTATTTTAACTAGGTCCCAGCTCCCCTCAGAATCCCCGGTGCCGAGTTCTAGTTTCTGTTTCCTAGAACCTAGATCGTCCAGCTTCTCGAGTTCTGCCTGGGTCAGCCCACCCCCCTGGACTAGGGGCACGTTACCTGCAGCTCTCGGAAGTCGTTTTCCTGGAGGCTGTTCCAGATCTAAGCAGCCTTCCTCTACGACTCCATGGTGCAACTGTGGCTTGTTAAGGCAGAGAGGCAGCAGTACTGTAGTCTTCAGAGTCTTTAAAACTTACAATCTTGAACGTCTTTTAAAATACTGATGAACAATGTCTGGGGCATTGCTCTTGTCCCCTCTCCCAGTGTCTCGGGGCCTCTCCAGCCAGGTTTCCTCAGACGCTGTGCTCATCTCCTGGTATACAAGAATGAATCATTTAGCCCTTTGTTTTCACTTAAACGTGAAATATTCAGTAACCCTCATAGCCTCTGTGGGTGAGTTTTCTGAAAGAGCTGTAAGAGAAAACCTTTACCGACTGAAGTGGTGAGTTAACAGCTCAACAGTTTATAAATTACTTGTCCCCTCTGATGTAATGATAAGGTAATGGTATTCTGTGCCATAGATACCATAACTCCACCTGTAACGCTGTTGTGGGCAACAGAGAAAGTACAGATTGCAGGAATACATTGATAGATTGGGCCTAAATAATATCTTTCTTCACAAAAACGAATTGATGTTACTCTCTGTGTAGGCAACAGCAGTTATGCCTGCAAACACGTGAACCTCAGATTGAGCAAATTTCTGCCCTCTGTGGTTTGATTGATTAGGGTCAAAGGGAACTAAGACATGAAAGTGTATCAGTTTTTGTAAAGTTTGTTTCGTATCACAAAGTTACAGACCACCCTGGGTGTTGCTATGGAAATTGCCATCAGAATTCTTAAAGGAAATAAAAGGCCAAAAGAAAAAATGACATTATAAATTAAATGTTTTAAAAATTATATTAAAGGTTTCCTTTTGTTTTTGAATGTAAAGTTAGTGTGACTTCCAAAGGAGGCACTACATGCAGCTATATGAAACCGTTCAATCTCCTCTGTTCTTTCTAAAGATGCGTCTGGAGAAATTGTTGTTGGTTTGTGTCCAGCAGATGGCGTCCATATACACAGACTGAAACATTCTTCTTTTCTGCTTGATTACTTGGTCAGTTCTCTGCTCTCTCTTGAAAATGATTGTCAGCCAATCGAATAATTGGGCATGCTGAGTACTGCCTGAAGTTGTTTACTTTCTGTGCTGAACTTCGATATACTTTTCCTCTACAGGTCCATTCACAGATGTAGTCACTACAAACCTAAAGCTGAAGAACCCCTCAGAGAGAAAAGTATGTTTCAAAGTGAAGACGACAGCCCCACGCAGATACTGTGTACGACCAAACAGTGGTGTCATCGAGCCTGGGTCCAGTGTAACTGTCTCGGGTAAGGAACTCCTTTTGGCTTTGCTGAGCTTTGCATTGGAATCTGGAGCCTATGCGTACTTCTGTGGACAGGAAAATAAATGTGGCATTATTTTAAAACGTGGCCATACTGGTATTCTGTACACACTTACACTTATATAGCTACACTTCCTCTGTGCTGTCCCACCTGCATGATGCACCAGTCCGCTCCCCACACACCAGCTCTCAGTGGGGAGGAGAGCAGAGGGATGAAGCCAGTAGATGGGGGTTATTAGGAAGCCATGACTGTAAAAGGCCAGGGGGGAAATTTGGCCAGGACACAGGAGTTACACCCCTACTCTTTTCGAGAAACGTCCTGGGATTTTTAATGACCACAGAGAGTCAGGACCTCGGTTTTAGGTCTCGTCTGGACAGCACCCTTTTTTTAGTCCTCCACTTACATGGTTCCAGCCAATACGAATTCTGTGTGACACAGCGCGAGAAACGGGGCCAGTCCCAGAACGACGCTCTCAGTCAAACGCAGTTCCTGCCTTGTGGAGCAGGCGAGGCGATCGAGCCGCGAGGCCCTGTGGGTCGAGGGGAGAGGGCCGGAGGTGAGGAGGAGCTGGCGGTGGGGATAGGTGACTCGGGAAGGGAAGGGGCTCGGAGTCCAGCCTGGCTGTGACACGGCGGTACCAGACCAAGCAGCAAAGACGCGATCTCGCCTGAGCAGAGAGGCGTTGCAAACTGTTAGTTGAAATTAGTTAAAAGTTCAAACGTGTGTCCTTGAAATCCGTCTGCTCTTGGCCCTTTCCTCATCCTGCCGCCTTTGTCCTCTTCCGTCTCGGCACACAGACCTGCACGTCTTTTCCTTTAACATGAAATATGCATAAAAAGCAAAAAAAATAAAATAAAAGCAGTAACCAAATACAATCACAATAAAGCCAGTAAAATTTCTAAATGTACCAATCGGCTTAGAAATGAACATCCCCCAGTATTTACGTTATTTCTTAATGGAACTTCATGCCCGATTAATTAGCAGTTTTACACGCCATAAGGTGTATCTGTTGCCCTAGTTGAGGAATACCTGAGGAATTAAATGTAAACATTTAAAGTAATCTTACATTGTTGATTGTATTTATATTTGGCATTTCTTTTAAGTGGTGAGATCATCATTACAGGTCCTCATGATTTCGGTCTGTTGGTTACATTTCTAATATTAGAGTTGCTCATAGAATATTTGCTCTTGGTCATCTGTAGTTGTGCTGTTATCAGGAGCCACGTCAGTATTGGCAAAATAACTGTGGAACTTTTCTGCTTATCCTACTAATGTCTTTTTGATTTAATACAAAACGGTAGATGTGAGGTGGTGGGTTTTTGGGGTTTCTAAGTCTTACATAGTTGTTCTCTGCTGTCTTTTGCAGTAATGTTACAGCCTTTTGACTATGACCCCAATGAGAAGAGTAAACACAAATTTATGGTACAGACAATCTTCGCACCACCTAATGTTTCAGACCTGGAGGCAGTGGTAAGCATGTCTTTCCCTTTATTTGCAGTAGCAGCTGTTGATTGTGGGACTCGTCTCAGTCGGCTACGCTGATGGACTTTGGATTGATGAACCGCGAATGCCCATAACATTGCTGAGTAGCTACAGGGTTTTCATTATGCCAGTTAGCACAAAGAAAAGCAAATGAAAGGGAACCTGATCAGGATCAGGTTTGATGCTTTATAAACTGAGAAGCAGGGCATTGCAATGTGGAAAATAACTCCCAGCGAGTCGCAATCACACTTAAATTTTGTTTCGCCTGCATCTCTTTTGGTTAACTGGTAAAATTAAAGTGCTGTACCACCTACCTTCCTGGAGTGCTGCTGAGCTGGTTGGCACTGTCGGAGTGTGATTACCACTAGCAGATGTGTGCGCCTCACCGCTGCACCCCTGTGGAATCGGAAGCAGATGTGTTGTCACACCTGACTCGGGAGGGATCGATGAGTACAGAAAAGGAACCGGCGCGGTCTCTGTTGCAACATTTTTAAATTCTACCACTCAGATCATATTTATACCTGCATCGTTTAAATAGTTGTTTTCTGAAGTGTTTCAAAACTGATACTTCACTACGTTCATTAAGGCTGTTAATATTAATAGGTAAACCCTGTCTTCTGTGGTCTTGCTGCTTTAGTTTAATTTTCAAGCGATTGCCATTATTATTGTTGCTGTAAACTGCAGGATATATTGATCTCCATCTGGAAACAGTAAAACAATTGAGATTTACAGAGCTGGCGAACGTCTACATGCTTATACACCCAGTACAAGCTGCCTTTATAGGGTGTAGCGCCTGTTGTACATTCTGGTGACACACCCTGTGTCATCGAGTTGTCGGTGGTTCCCCACCCCCGGCCCACAGGGAGAAACTTGTCTGCTGGTTTTCATTCCATTCGATCTAAACCACCAGTGAGAAATGATGCCTTTAATTTATCTGCTTGATTAGACACTTGGTTGGCACGTTTCTGCACTTGGTAACACGATACCGCCTTTCCAGTGTGCTCCTTTTCAACAGCGCAGGCATGTAAATCAAGCTGTCGCTCCTCAGTGTGCTGACCCTCGTTTGTGACTTAGCAGCTATTCCTAGGGGGTCAGCTCATGAACACGCAGGTGAGGAGTGGCTGACAACACGCCCGCAAGGAGCATTTTTCTCCACCTTCTGCACAAGCGCAGTACAGGCTGGGGAGAACTCTCTGGGGGCAGTTCTAAGACTCCTGCTGCCCCTAGAATGGGGATAATGCCAATTACAAGCCCCAGTCAACACTGAAAACAAATGTAGAATATGCCCCCAATAGAAAATTGAAATGGAATTGCTCAGTATGAGGAACTTAACAGGAATAAAACCCATAAATTCCTGTAGGTAGATGGATGAGTCGTTTTGTGGTTTTAATTGTATCAGGAGGTATGGTTAATGGTATAAAGTTGTTGTGGCTCTGTTTGGAAAGGTACAGTGAAGTGATACAATGGATTTTGTGGAGGTGGTTTCTAACACCAGAGGGCAGCAAATGCACGTCAAGATGCAGTTCCTACCGCTCCTGCTGTGTTACAAATCTTCCTATGTGGCCATTATATTTACATTTAAGTCAATGAAAGCACTTATAGAAAGGCAAGAAAAATGCACATTTCTTATATTGGAAGAAAAAATTACAATTTAAAAAAGTAATTCTAGATTTTTAAACAAAGGAGTGAAAATACATTGAGTTCCAGATTCAGAATACGGCTGTAGAATTGTCTTTTATCTGTAATTTAACCCATTCAACGTTGCGTTAAACCTGCTAGAGCCTGGATTTCCACTGGCACGTTTCGTAGTGCAGATCTGTCCAGTCCGTCCTGGGGAGCTCTTGCTCATAACCCTCTTTAAGATGCTGGCCGGTTAGCTAGAGAAAGCTGTTAGACTGGTCCTGTTAAGCCAATAAGGAGTGGAACTGGGCAGGTAAGAGCTAAGAGGAGATGAAAGCCTTCTGTGAAAGTCTGCCCGCTGTGGTCATGACAGGGCCGAGCTGCTGATTAAATACAGGGACTGCTGGGTGAAATGATGTCTGCGTTTCCAGAAGCACTGAGGAGAGAGAATCAACTGAAGGAGGTTCACACTGTTTCCGAGTGCTCCTGTGTTTCTCAGCCTTTCCTGCATGCCAAGTTGGAAACAGGACTTTTACATTTGTGGACAACAACCCAGACTAACCTGAAGCTTGAAACTACAAATATATATGTAACATACACCACTGGTATTTTGTTATACTAACAATTAAGGACATCAAATAAAGGGCTATTTTTAATGCTCAGGTATTCTTTCAGTGTTTTAAAACTGTGTAAGAAAGTTTTGCTTGTGTTGTTTTATTTTAATGGGTTTGCAAGAAGTGTTGATATTTTGTCAGATGTTGGGCACGTGATCGACACAATCTGTTGTGTTGAATCTGGGGTGATGAATAACATGCTGACTTCTAATCCCTGTAGTGGAAAGATGCAAAACCTGATGATCTCATGGACTCCAAACTGAGGTGCATCTTTGAACTGCCTTCTGAAAACGATAAAGTGGTGAGTGGAATGTTATGGAGAGAACTTTTGATTTATTATAGCCTGTCGAGATGCAAGACAAATAGCATCAGACCTTCAAATAATAACGTGTGTGGGTTTTCTTTCTGATTGGGTGGTGAGGGGTGGGTGGTGTTTAATACGCCAAACCCGGGAAATGAATCATCTGTTAATCTTGGCTGTGGGATTCAATTTCATGAAGTTATGAAGCACATCATTGAAGCACAGTTTCCCAAATGCAACGTACTGTTTCATATATTGACACGTACTGTTTAGTATTGACAGCCTATTAGTAAGTCAGTTCTTAGACAGGTTTCTAGATGTATTCTTAAGTGCATGTCTGACTATATATCACCTGCCTTGTTTTGTAACTTTTTCGCCTTGCTTGTTTTCACATCGGTCTTATGCATGCTGCTTGTTTCTTCTAAATAGCACAGTAACACTGGAGAGCAGAGGTCATTAGCCAGTGGGTTAGTGACCCCCTTAAAGTCCTCCAAGGCCAGTAAGTTCAATTCAGACAGTGGAGCTCACCGGCCACCAAGGGCCGCCCCAACACCAGGGGGCGCTCACGAGTTTCGCACCCCATTGAGCGTCAGGCACCTCCTCACCCCCGGCAGTGTTAGCAACAGGAGTGACCTGCAGGGATTTCTGTTGGCCCCCAGCTCTGAGGTCAAAGTGAGAAGGATGCAGGTTTGTTCCACGGTGGCTGTTTAGGGACAGGGTGATAGGAAAGCTCCTAAATGCTCAGCAGGTGTGCAGTTCTGTCCTGGAGCCTCGGGTCAGCCTCTTCACCACTCGCCCTTACGCATACTTCCTCAGACACTGGCTGCCCATTGTTCTAACCTTTATGGTACTTCATCCTCATTTCATTAAACCTGTACTTCCAGTGTGATTGGGATTTTTTTAACATTCATGATCTTCAAATGTTTCCATATTCAAGATAGGATCATGAATTGATCATGATGGGCTTTTCAGTGGAAATGTATTTCAGCGCACGCTAAGGTCCAACTGTTTGCTTACGTAGGTTGACACGTAGCAGTAACAGTTTGACATTCCCACATAACAACGACACTTTCCACCTTGTCTGTCCTGGTGAAGAGAGGCACAGATCAAATGCTTGGTTTATTCCATGCTGAAAAGTAAAGTAAGAAAGAATAAACTACGTGTTTCAGCTGTTTAAGAGCTGACTTGTGATGTGTGAAAAGGGGTCCCCAGTCAAAATGTTTTTTTCCTTTTTGCTTTACAGTAAAGGCTTAACCCTTACTTGCTCCTAACTTGCAAGAAGGAGTGGTGGTCAGAAAGGGCCTGCTATAGACATATGGGTGTGATTTTCCCTTTTCCTTTCTGTTTTTAATGTATTGGCATTTTCCTAAATACGGTCATCTCTTCGTTGTTTTACAAATGTTTACATTTGAGTTCTTATACAGTATTTATAAATTATTTAAGCTTATAAGGATATTTAAGTCATAGACAAATGTAAAAGACTGATGTTCTACAGAAGAGCTACAGAACGTTTCTGCTTTTTCCCTAATGTCTAATTTAGATAAATCACTGATGTGACGGGTTAATCAAATGTTGCTTGTGAGTTTGTGAACAAAAATCATGAAGTGTGTGATTTGTTACCTGTACATTTCTTTTGATTTCTGTTTTCCATTAAATATTTAGAAAAACATCGAGGCATGTGGTGTGTTAAGAGAATTTTCTGAGCAGATTTTCCTGGTTTGCAGAATGACATTGATTCAAACAAAGCTGCTCCAGTCCTTAATGCATCTAAACAAGATGGCTCCTCTGTGCCAAAGCCCAGCAGTGCGTCTTTGGATGACACAGAGATGAGGAAACTCATGGAAGAGTGCAAGAGACTCCAGTCCGAGGTGATGAAATTCGCAGATGAAAACCGGCAACTTAAGGTAATTGGATCATTTGTTAAGTATTTTAGAATAAGAAGGTGCTTCAGGTGTTGTTTTATCTTCTGTATTTACTAGCTATATTCGATAGCTTTCATTGATCTGTTGATTCTTCCGCCTGTAACATTATTGAAACGCTTTGTTTTGAGTATTCTTGCTAATTGTGTGTTTCATAAACAAAATACCCCTCTCCATTTGACATAAAAGATCTCCAAACATCACCTTCTAATAGATGTTAGGTTTATTATTGTATTCGGCATTGAGTTCTGAAAATAAGAATTCTGTGCAAGTTTGTTGGGAATACTTTATTTGAATGAGGCTAAAAAATACCATCATAACTCCTTTATAAATACTACACAGCACGATAAAGCAACATGCTTAAACACCACATAGCTAAATAAGATTTCATATACAGTACACAGCAGGACCATTGTCACTGAACAGCACCTGCAGAAAGTCCTTGTCAGCTCTTAAGTCCTTCATGGTATCCCATCATTTTCCTCTGACTTCTCTCTCTGCAGCTCTGCTGTTAGCTTTTGACTGATAATTTGTCATTATAAACTGTTGAGAATCATCATGAATCTGCGATCTTATTTGCAGAGGTTGTTGTAAAAACTATGTATGTTGTTATATGCTTTTCCATAGTGTTTTGTGAATGAGTTATAACTCAATTGTTTAAGCCTCGTTCAAGCAAAGCACTGCTGTTTTTTATTCTACTTTCAGCCAGTCCTGTGGTTTTTCTTTTGCCTCCTTGTTCAGTTGGCCTGCAGCAGGCTAACTACAGAAGTTTTCAAGAGCGCCCTCTGGTGGTGCCGTGGAATTTTTCCAAACTCTTCTGTGGTCATTGAATCCAAAGCTTCAAGAACACACCACATTTTCACATGTTATTAGTTGTGCAGTGCTGTCCAATAAGCCTGTCTGAGGCATTTTTCACACTGTTGGCAGAAGCACACATGGTGTGAAACATGAGGTCGTATTGTCAGTGATGATTTGCATGTATAGGAGGCATGCAAGGCACACCGTTTCTTCTGGTTTAATCACACCACAGCAGTGAGAGAGAGGCTCACGTGCTCTGGAATGTTGCTGGCAGGAAAGAGAGAAGGTGTTACTGCGCTGGCATTCAAGCTTCATGCAATCTCCAGATTCCAGAGTGCTGGCAGCTTTCCTAAAACACCCCGAATTATTTCAATTAACAGTAAATGAGACTACAGCTTTGAAGTGTTATATTTTATGAAACCTGCATATACTGCTTTCAGAACTTTAAGGATGCAGTTTACATTATGTTGATATTATTAAGCTGTGACATCAATTTTATAAAGCTTTCTCAGTGACGGTGTTAATGTTAAGGTCAGCATTTGTCCTATGAGCTACACATACAACCCTCTCTTTATACATTTACAAATATTATTGCAGCTACATTTGATTTTTGGAGAAATCATACCTGAATGTGATTTAATTCTTATATTGTTTAAACTCCTCTCCAGTTAGTGAGAGTCTGTGCTTTGTTCTGAACACCCACCAGAGTCACTGGCTTATTTATAGTCTTTTTCATTAGAGGGATTTGCTCAGGTCTTTTTTTAAACAAAACCCCTGCACTGAGATTACTTAGCTTAAATGAATGTAAAACAGGCAGGTAATGCAGAGTCTAGATCAAACAGCGAATGCTGGGCGTTAACAGGGAAAGATCAAGGTACCTAAGCATAGAAACGGAGTCTTAGTGGTAAAGGACGAAGCGCCTCTGAGTTTCTGAGTGTTTGTTGTTTTCATTCTTGCAGGATGAAGGCTTGAGAATGAGGAAGGTCGCTCGATCAGACAACATAGTATCAAACCCAGGAGGAGTTATGGGTAGAGACCACGGGTCCAACTCTCTTCCCTCTCTCCTCGTTGTAATCGCAGCCATCTTCATCGGATTCTTCCTAGGGAAGTTCATCTTGTAGAGGGAGAAGCATGCAGACGTGCTCCTTCAGGCCTGGAAATGTCTTTTCGTCGACCTGCCATATCATTGGTAGTATGGCCCACGGTGACCATGTTTGTGTACAGCATCATCAGCAGGCCTTGCCTTTAACAATCTCTCACACGGTTAGTACACACACACTAAAGAAAAACACCAGATGTTCCTTTTTTGTTTTCAGTTCTTCAGGAGGGGAGGGGGTGGGGGTTAAACAAGTTCTACATGATCAGAACATCATAGCAGGCGTGTCAAGGTACTGCATAGAAGCCCTTGATGAAAACTCGTAAAGAATTGTTCTCTCTTTCTCTCTGTGGTTTTAATAAGAGTTGAATGGAATGTTAAGTGTCTTGTAAATGTTATTTTAATCCTTTTAAAAATGACAAATTTTGCTACCTGTTGCTGGATTGCCTCTTGAAATTAAATTTGTTAGTCCGATTCGTAATCCTCCTTTCTTTCGGAATGTCAAGAGGTCTGCTGGGGAAATCGGTGCCTCCTATCTTGTAAATTTCTCATTCCTTTCCTGTCCCTGCTGATAGCAATGCAGACTTTTATTAATATTTTTTTCTTGCCACAAAATATATATATATATCCCTTGTGAGGCAAATGTTGACTGAAAAAAAGCTGTCCATTCTTACAATCCTGTCCCATGGTATTTAACATTGAAGAAATAAAAAAAGAAAAAAGTCTTTTTCTGTGTTTTTCTTTTTTTCCTTGTTTGTATTTGTATAATTTCCTCAGTGGTTACCTCTACAGTGCCTGCTTTGCTGCTTTTTTCAACCCACACCCCTGTGGCGAATATAGCAGGTTTCGTGCTGTCCCATCAGCTAACTCGTATTGTTTTTAAGAAACTTTTAGCATCGTTGCATGGAGAAATGGTAGCATGTTCGTAAATTGTGATAAAAATATTTTAATTCAATGTTTCCAAATTGAATTCTTCTAAATTCCCCATACTGACCTGTGGAGCTGCATCTGACCTCTAACTCTGCATTTCAAGCCAGCTTTTATAGAGGAGGCTGCTTCTGATTTTTCGTTTTCTGTGGCAGAAATAAAGCTGCTTTTAAAATAATTTTATTGTAAGTACTTAACTTAATTTTGCCCTGAAATTGTGAAGTGAACAAGAAGGAACACTATAATTAGGAATGTATATTCAGCTACAATCCTTTTCTCAAAAAGAAAGATTTGAGAGGTGATTCCTTTTGAAATCTGTTTGCACCTGAATTTGATCGCTGTAGACTGCTGGCCCTAGCCGTTCGGATTTTCTCTCATCAGAAACCTTTATCCTAATAGAGAAGTGAAGTCCTGCTGCAGCACTTGCCTGCTTTGCTTTCCTCTTCTCCCTCCTGCTGCTTGTTTTTTCTTCTTGAGTGCTGAAACACAAATGTGGTGATAAATTAGTTTAAATAGGTTCACACCAAACCTCCATTTAGTATATCTTGGCAGATTTTTGAAAAGCAAACATGTCTTTGAAACACCACATGTTATTTCATATGAACTGTAACTCAGTGGTACTGAGCACACTTTACACATATGGGCAGACCTTTTCTGGCTTTTTAATTGGGCTTTTATTTCAGGTTTTTGTATATGTGGCGCTTGGGTCCCATGTAATGTCTGAGGTGGTCGAATTCAAGGTTTTGCTTTGTTGGCGGAGCAGTTTTAATTGAAGTTTCACCAGGGTGAAACTGGAGAACAGCGAGCGTCTGAAACTTGTTGATGTAAATAATGGGTGGAGAGATCATAGCAGGTGATACCTTTCTTTGTTGTCTGTTCACCGTGTTTGACAGAGATACAGTACTGTACATGCAGTTGAAGAATAGGATCGTTGCATCTAACTGCCTTGCATGTCATCTCTCATTAGGTGAGAAATGCAGTACAAGTCTAACTGATGATATAAATGAAAGGTCCATAGTTTCCCTCTTGTGTGGGAAAAGAGCTTGAGCAGAGAAACACTACTGGAAATCCTCCTATGAGCCAATATGGCTGTGAACGCGCTCGGGAGGAGGAACACGTCCGTGATGACGAGTCACGTCCTTGCCCAGCGCATTAACTGGTGAAAGGGGTTTTAAGGGGTGAAACGTGACGTCTCCAGGCCTGAGAGGTCAAGTACAGCATTGAAGGCAGTAATCGTCGAGGAATCCGGGCCGAGCGTTTGTTTGGACCAGGTTTCGCCACATGTGTTCTCTCTGAAAGTCATCCATCAGCACTGTGCACATGCCCCTGGGCGGACTGAGCTCGTGAGCGAGAGAGAGGCGACGCTTTTCGGCCGGAGTCTCTCGTGGACCTGGGTGTGGAGCACATGCATCGTGTCCATCACTTAATCACTAGTTAATAACGAGTTCTGTTCACACGGGAATTGTCAAGCACCCCTCCCTTAAATATTGATGCTGATTCCTTGAGAAGAGCAGCTTGGTCTAGTTCTCAAAGATTTGGGGGAAAAAAATACATTTTCCCCATATTGTTTTAATTTTTTTTTTACTTCAAAATCAAGTCCCACTTCTTAAGGGAGTTTGTGGGTGGACTTATTTATTTTGACTGTTCTCTTGACTTTTATTGATTTAGAAGAAATTACCTTTATGTGTAGCTGCTTCATGAATTTTGCCAGATGCTAAAGGAGCTTTAGCCAAGAACAGCTTTGTATGCTATGAAAATAATGAGAGCGTGATTACAAAGCAGGGTTCCTTCATTACAGCATAAGTCCTCTTCTCGATCAGTAATCATTTCAAATTAAGACGCCTTTTTTGATATGGGAAAGGGGGGAGAGTGCATTCTGAGCGGAAATCTTGATGGATCTGATAGCAGATTGCTTTTCCGCGTGAGCTACACCCACTGAAATGACACAGCTGCACAGCTGTGGTCTGTCAGTGCCAGCGGCCAGCGGATCGTGCAAAAGACAGAATGAAATGTTTTTGTGGGCTTTATTTTTCTGGCTCAGCTTCTATAACAATTGAAACAATACGGAAAATAAATCATCGTCAATTCTTTTTCAGAAATTAAATATTCTAATTATGGTATTATAGCAATATTGTTTCAGTATTATTGATCATTATCAATAAAACCCTAGTTGCTTGTGTTTTTTTGGGCTATATTGACTCTCTATTGAATATTAACAATTATGTTTTTTTGGAGGGCTACATGAGTGCACTTATTTAAAATGCTGCACGAGGTAGCACTTTGCAGTACTTTCAACAGAAGAATGGACAGTTTGCAAGAGCCTGAGTTTTGCTTTAAACAAGTGCTTAAAATGTTTAGCATTACAGCAACAAACAAAGCAGAAACCATGAGTGCTGCATGTTTGCTGGGGATTTTTGACAGGTGAATACAACCCTCATAAATCTAGACTGCATTAATTACTCTGTATTACTTTCAATTTTGGGATCTCTTTCCTTAATTCTATTCCTTTTCAGTGTCCTCTCCTGCTGGTGCAATAACATTTGTCAAGTTACAGTGCAAAGACATGCTGTCCGGGATAATTGCCTTTGTTTAGTTGCCCCCATGTATGTTTGTGTAGATTTGCGTGTCATGAGATAGTCCTGTCCAGGGTGCAGTACTTAGCAATTGGCAATTAAAACGAGTTTTGGGGTATAACAACCTGCTAACCCTGAAAGATACAGCAGTTACTGAAAATGACTGGATAGGTGACTTTCTGTAGATGGCTGCAGGTGATTAATTTACTACACAATTCAGACAGTTGTTGTTTTCTAGTTATTCATGGCTTTTGTATACAAATGCTCATTCTTAACCGAAAGCTTTGTATCTTAAAGCGCATTTTAAGCACCTTTGCATGTTCCTTGCTAAGAGCTTTAACATCAGGGATGCTGATTAATTGCGGTAGGTTGCACTAATTTATAATCAAGCATGGTTCCTGATCTGCATTTGCATTTTCCTATACCTTTTTTTTCAGTGTTTTACTGTCATATGTTACATTTTATTCTGTTTTAGAATTAAAGCTGAAAATAAATATGAAATTTGTTTCTTTTTGCTTAACAGTGGCTGTTCACACTGAGCAAAGTAAACTACTCAATGAGACCATTTTTTGTGGGTTCATTCCCATCCCTGTCCTGTTGTAAAGGCAGAACAAAAAAACCAATTCAACATTTGTAGAACCATATAAAGGAGTGAGGTTATTTTTGCCTATTATAATTTAATTAAAAAAAGTGTTATTATTGAAGTGACACCTTTGTTCTCTGACCTCTTGTTTTGGCTGGAATGCACTGAGCTCACAGGTGTCATGAAAACACCATACTTGGCCTTGGATGTGTGTGTGTGTAATTTAAAGGTCAGTTCAAGCGTGATCCTCTGGACTATTACAGGGTTTTCAAATTCTGTTAGCTCTCGCAAGAAGACATCTGACTGCTGAATTACGTGGAAGAAGAAGGGGTGCAGACTGGGGAGCTTCTTCAGTTTGGCACTTAGCCCACTTACTCTTCGCTGGTTATAACCCGACCAGGGATAACAGACTGGCCCAACTGAGCTCTAGCAAACACTACTCAATTGAAAACAGGTGTAGCGTGTCCACTGTTGAACCTGTCCACTATTACCCAAAGGATGTTTAATTATATGTGAAGCACGTCTGTGGTTTAAACCAATGAAGATCTTTTTTGCTGCAGGTTTTCTTTGCGCAAACAGCACCAGCCCCACAAATACCAGGAAAGCTGCTAAGGTGTTGGAAAATGAGCGATTGTCATGGACAGCCATTGTAATTTGCCTTCAGAGCCTTTGGCTTTGTAGTGACTTTTTTTTAATACATACACACATGAAAAAGTGAATCGTAGTTTGCATGATTTTTGTTTTGTCTGAAAATATGAATGTGCACACAGTTCAGCACTTAAGCCTTTGGTGGTTAAGTGAATATGGCATACTATGATATTTTAAAAATGTTGTAAATGACAGGATTGTCGAATGTGTCATATTAGTGTTCTCCGGTGATTCATTTGAAATTCTCCCTTTGTGATTTGATTAGGATATTTTATGTGAAACTTAATGAATTCATGAATGTATTAATTTCGGTCATGAACATTTTGAGATTTGAGGAATCTAAGTGATGGGAACGGTGGCACTGGTAGTAGCCTCCTTTTTTAGGGTATTTTGGTATAAATCCACATGGTTAACTTGCCCATTGCTCAGGTCTTTTCTGCTGGAGGCATGGAGAGGTGTTTTTCCCAGGCCAGGAAATCTCGCTCATACAAAGTAGACTGTGCAGTTTCCCAACAGGACTGTCCCACAAGCTCTCGGCCGCCTGATTCCGATTCCAGGACTTCCAACCCCTCTTTTGACTGTTTCATTCTTCCCAGGCCCCATCATTTCAACGAAATGAGTTTGTTTTGTGAACTTCGGCCGCAACGCGGTTTGCGACAGAGATATCGGCAGGAAGCTCCAGCTGCCCCCTCATCCATCTGCATGCCATATCCCATATCCCGTCCCACGCGGTGGATCCCATTATTCACGATTGTGAAGTTGTCTTCCTTTCACAGACGTGCTTCCTCACCGTTGGTCTGGCCACACAGCCTTGTGTACCTTCTCACGACGCCGTCTGCATCACTGCTGCACGTGGATGAATGAACATGTTGCAGATTTGCCGGTTTGCCACAAGCCTTGCTGGTCAGACCCCATTACAAGGGTTTCTTAGTGCTGACAGTGTCATTAGCCAAGCACTTCAGGCTCCTGTGTGCTGCTCCTCCGATACCTAGGTCTTAGTCCATGCCAAGGGGCTCAGTCTTCTTCATCTCACTGTAGAACTCTCTCTTGATCCTTCATGGCTCCAGCTGTGATCTCTTGACTTCCTCTTCCAGATGTGCCTCCCCCCGTACTGCTGTCAAACCCACCTTGGTACCTAACATCTTCCATCGTAGTCTGGGTATATGGCCAAGCCCAGGACGCCCTCTTGTGACAGTGGCTATGAGGTTGTAGGGCTTCTCTGCCTCTTCCACAGTATGTGACTTGATTCCAGGTGTGCCTGGCGCACACATCTTTTCTCTTACCATCTCACTGTCTCATTAGCTTGTTTACATTTGATGACATTAGTGACAAATATAGTTGGTTAGCTGCTGGTGCTGTAAGGTCTGGTATTGAGCCTCCAAAGTGCACTAGCCAACCTCCTGAGGCCCAGGTTAACAAGCCTCTGAAGCAACATAAAATGGTGTTATTGGAAAACCAGTCTAAGAATCCTGTTGTCTTGATAGCATCAAGCCTTGAGCCCTCCTTGCAACCTTGCCTGTTGCCTTCATCTGCCTGCTTCGTAATTTCTAACACACACTCTTGTAATCCAGTTCATAAACCATGTGTTAAGGCTTTTCAGCGGCTGCTTGGGCTCACTAGGGCTAACTTCCTTGCCAGTCTTAAAGCCTTCGAAGTCTTCTTCAGAACTGATATCCTTGACTCTGCTGACTTAAATACCATCTAGGTCCAAGCTGTACATTTCTTCAGATCTCTAGAGTTGACCTGCCTTCAAGTACTGACTTGGATGCAGCAGTCATGAAGATTCTAGTTGCTGCTTGTAGCACTCACAATGGTATCATGGAAACAGAACTGAGAAAGGTTTTGCATATTCTCCCCGAAAACTTCTTTCTACTAACTAATGCATTATATATTGCTCCTTCTGTGACCTTTGGTATTATCTTCTTAATGAAGAATAGATCAATCTGGTAAACTTTTCAGGATTTATGACCATGTACTTAAAAAAAAAAACCAAACCTAAAATGTATTGATCTATATCCAGGTTAGGATAGAGTGATGAAATTAAAAAAAAAAAAACTAGTTGATGATGGACAGGTGGGCTTCATAATGCTGTCTTTTACACATTTTCAGCAATATCTACTGTACCACAAACTTTTACGAGTCAGGTTTATTAGGAAGAAATGAGGACACGTCTTCTGAGTATTTAAATAGCTATTTGGAGTCTCAATGCAATGTTTTATGACTGAAGTCTTTCCTAGAAGTGGTATCTCAAACTTCATGAAAAACTTAATACAAGATTTAGATCATCTGAGTTAATGTAAAAAGACAAAGATGTATACAACAGAGGACATATTCTGATTAGTTAACAGAATGATCTACTAGCAAACATCTTCACATGAATCAGTGTGCGAACCCTTGGATTCAGTAACTGGTGGGGCTGTGTACAGAAAAGATCTGAGGGGTCAGAAATGTAATAATTTATTTAACAAGGGAATGCAGTATCTCAAGCACATTGTCTATGAGACTGAGCCCATTTCTCACAGGGCCCCTTCTCTGTTGCAACTGGTGAAAGTGTAAACGAAACACCCTGCTGTAATACCGTATCTGCTCGAAAACCAGAAACACTACAGGAGAACCTTCTTCAGCAGCAGCGTCTTCAACTCGACATTTCCTGTAACTGTCCATCAGTCCCCTGCATCAGCTTGTAGGAATTCTGGCCCAGTCTTCCTTACTGAACTGCTTCGGGCTGGTGACATCTGAGGGTTCGATTCAGGTCCTGTTGCAGCATTCGAAAATCAGGGATTATACTGCCGGTTCACGCACCTTCTCTCTTCACTGGAGGTCATGTGAGCAAAATGGGAACAACACAGTCTTCCTCCCCTGTCCCCCTCTATTCATCCTTTGCTGTGTGGAGATACCAGTGCGTTTGGCAGGATAGTGTAGAGATGGAGTAAGAGAATTGCTGTTTGTCATTAAAAAGCAACTGAGTGAAAAGCCGATTCAAATGTAAAGATCCCACCCTTTCTGATTGCTTTGGCAGAAGATTAGGGGTCTCCAACAACGACAGGAGTAGAAACACTGCTCCCTTCCAGTAATGATCCAGTTACTCTTCTCGGTATTTTCAAAGCTGAATTCCATACATCTGGTGCACGGAGCAATTCAAAATCATCTCTGCTTTAAACTTAATTAACTCACTAAACATAGAGTGTAGTGAGAACATAACCTTAGAAATGAACCCGGAATGTGTGGTTTCTCTAACCAGGAGCGTTCCTGCCAATGGAAATGTAATTAATGACATAATTTTGTTTAAAAAAAGCTGCATCCTACTAGCTTACCCAAGTTAACACAGAAACTACACTACTTAATGTGAAGCCCAGCAATGACGGAACAGCCGCTTTGCTTTGGCCAATGGAGCGATGCTGGAGTTGCACATTATCTGTCTTGGCTGTCTCCATTGCAGGCGCCCATTTGCTACAGGGTGAAAAGGAACAATTACAGCAGTATGATCATCTTTGGGATGTTCATATTATTGATTAGTTTTGCATCGCATTATCTTAATATTGTGCAAAACCTTTAAACAAAAACTGTAGCTGAGAATTCTGTGTTTCGCTCAGCTCATTGATACATTTTTCTAATTTTTCTAATGTCACAGCCTCATAACACTGTATACGTACAGCATTTTGACAGGTGATTACACATAAAATGTATCTAGGCTAACATTCTGTGTAAACAGAATTATCACAGTGTTACACTGAACGAGTTCAACCCAATATTACCTATAACACTTCAAACCAAGCCCTTCGTCTTGATAAAAGGACAAGAGAGGTCAAATGGAGAACAGCAGATGTTTTTTTTCTCCAGTCTTTCCTTTGAACTGTGGCAATCTGGACCGCCACCAAGCCACAGTGTGTTCTAGTGGTTAGACAGAGGGACAGTGAGCCAAGACAGGGAACACAGCCACTGGGTCTCCCAGAGCAACTTCGTGTTTTTCTTTCCAGATGTAGGGCTGAGATTAAACAAAGGTAGACTCTCTCCAAGAGTGTCTTTCTGGAGTTTACCTGAGTAAAGCTTTAAGAAAAATATTTTTATAGAATTTCATTTTGACTCTGTGGTCCAGGGCTTGATTCTGGGCTGGGGATCATTCTGTGCAGAGTTTGCATGTTCCCCCCGTGTTCATGTGGGTATTTTCTGGGTGCTCCAGTTTCTTCCTACCTCCCCGTTACAT